GGTCTTGTGGAACACCCCATCTCTACAGTGAGTGTTAAAGCACAATCAGTAAATAGTACAGATTTGAGGCAAAGCACACCTGACCAGGTAATACCTGCCACAGTATGTGATCCATTATCAGTGGTAAAAAAAGAGGGTCTCTGAAAAGAAAACATAAATTAAAGAAAGTGATAAGACTTACCCTGGTCAAAGGTGAACGGATATATGCAGAATTGCCATAGGAGGGAGACAATATTTACCTAAAGAAGATACAGCCAGATCAAGCAGATAATGAGCAATGAAGATATTGAGAGTAATCCATATTCCAGCCTGAATGATCTTCTCCAACAAACAGCAAATGTAAGCAGCCAAAGGCATAGTGAGATGAAAAATTTGATGAGAAGAAACACTGTGAAGATGGCAAACTTCCATAGATAAGTCTGATTACATCAGTCTAACAAGTTGACAACCTCAACTAGTAAGCAGAACATGGGATAAAACACAGGAAATGGAAGGGTGTTGGGGAATAAAAGGTCTGAAATGTGAATTCCCGAAAGGAGGCAGTATGTGCCACAAAACAGTGTACGGAGTAAACCAGACAAAGAAGCCAATCAGGATCGGAAAGGGAGTAAAGGTGGGAGATGGAAGGTAAGGAAATGGGTGTGAAAGCCAAACTGCCTTTACGAGCAGCATAGGTCTTACGGAGGAAGGACCAATCAGGATATAGGATGACATAAGAGGAATGGCAGAGGATGTGGGTAATATTAAAAGCACGAATAGATGATTGACAATGTCCACAAGCAAGGAGGTCAAGGAAATAGGTCTTGACGGAGAGATGGTACATGGAAAATGACAAGGGAAAACAAAACCTTATGAAACTAAGAGAAACAGAGGGTGTTAAACAAGGCCACCTGATAGAAAGACACACTTGTAGTGGACATGCCTTTGTCAAACAACCATTTGAAGAATTGGGAAAGATGAGGAACGGAAGTGTGGGAAGGATGGAAACCATCACCTTTGGTAAATGGACATGGACGAAGGTCTGATAAAATGGGAAGGGAGAGTTGCAACATGTGGAGTCAGTCCCTGGGTTGAAGCAATGAATCTGATAAGATCCATGCATGAAGATGGAGTGTGGTGAAGTCTGGATGAACAATGTCCAATTAGGTTGAAAGAGGAGAGACCAAAACAGATGTAAGTGTAAAGAAGGTTGTACAAGTAAAGCTCAGAGCAGTGGAAACCATGGTTGTGCCAGCTAATACAGAGCCACCAGTAGGATTATACACAGAGTGGTTTGGATTAGGGATAGAAATCTAGAGAGGAGTCGATTAGGAGGGTAAGCATAGATGTGAAGACCCCTTCAATCTTGACTGACTGGGTCCACTCCCAGTGTTAGTGGATGTGGAATGGGTCACCAAAAGGAAGGAAGTTTGGTGTACTAGTTGGTGGCAAAGGCATATATAAGGTATCCCCAGCTGGAAACCCACCCACCAAAAGACCTGTGAATCGAGGGACTACTCTGTGGGGAGAATATTTTTGAGGTGAGATCCACAACCAGATTCAGGGTGCTAGGAACACAGCAAGCTAAGACCACTATATGGTGACTGTGCACCCCAAAAAGGCATCCAGAATATGAAAGCAGAGAGACCTGATATTGGTCCACCCTGGCTTGGTGATATAAGTGACCACTTTGGAGTTGTCAGAGTGTACCATAACTACACTCTCCTGCTAGAGAGGAAAGAAGTGGGACAAAGCTCGACAAAGTGTCATAAGCTCGAGAATGGTGATATGGAGAGGAGACTTCTTGATTGACCAGAGACTGGAAATCCCCCGGGAGTTGAGGTAATCACCCCAACCCTCTAAAGATGAGTCTATGAACTGATGTGAATCCAGATGAGGTGGACAAAGCAGTGCCCCTGCTGTGATCTGGTCTCTGTCATACCACCAAGCCAGGTCAGCTCTGATCAGGGAAAGAGGAGTAAAAGGGTGGTCCAATGTTTTCGAGTAGAAGTTTCATTGATCTAAGAGTGTCCATTGAAGGGAACTCATAAGAGCCTGACCCATGGGAATGAGAACTTCCAAGGAAGCCCACATCTTCAAAAGAGATAGAACCTCTCATGCTGTGAGAGTATGTGATGAGGGCCTTGTAAACTGCTTTCTCCATATCCTGAAGACAAAGAGGAGAAGGCTGGGCCCAACTGAGGTAGAAATGAAGAAAACGCCCAAATAAATGGGGAATTGAGTGGAGGTAAGAATGGACTTCCCCTTTCATCAGGATTCCCACCTGTGCTGCATCTTTTAGGAGCAGAAGAGTGTGGTCTCTGGACTGTAAACAGGAAAAAAGCGAGCCATCCACGTAAAGATGAGTGTAAAGACCTATAGAGTGAAGATGTTGGATAAGACCTTGTATCACCGTACAAAACACTTAAAGAGCCAGGGTTAATCCAAATGGTAGGGCTTTGAACAGAAACACTCAACCTCGAACAATAAATAACTATAGACAATGTGGCCACTGTGTGGACAAACCCTGAATTGTAGATTACAAGGAGAAAATTTGGTTTCTAGTATCAAGAATGTAAGAAAAGTAGCTAAAGCAAAGCTCAGTCTGATGAACAGGAAAGAAATGAACATGTCAGCAATGTAGCAAAGCAAAAAAAAAAAATACTGAAGTCCTACACTGATGAAAAGTAGGATTACAAGGCACATAGTTAACAATGAGAAAACAAACTTTATCCAGATAGAACAATGAATTAGATGTTACTACTACAAATGATATGTAACATACAAACTCTCTAAACATACCTAGTTAACAAAATACTTATGAATATTGAACTGACAAACCATTAAAATTTACCTAGTCCACAATGTACATAAGGAACATGGAAAATGACTAAAAGTACCTAGAAAAACAAAGTAATAAACAATATCTAACTTACAATTCCTCTAAATTAACTTAGATGACAACTGGACACACAAATATCTAACTGATGACTTGAAATACTTAAACTCCCATGTTTAAAAAAGGACAAAGTCACACAAAGAGCATCTGAGCCACACCTACCACAGGCATATCCACCATGTGTGAAGTGTACAAGTCAAAAACTTACAACAGAAGTATTGGGAGAGCTGGAAGCAATGTGAAAAAAAGGAAAAGAAGAACAAACCTCCACAAAAGTGAATAATGTGGTGGCATGGCAAATGAAGCAGGAAAAGAAAACTAGCAAAATCACCCACATCTAGAACATGCATTGACTGACGACCTGATTAATTAGCTGTAAAAAAATGGAAGGGGAAACTCCTGAAAAGGTGTAGTGTGTGACAGACCAAAATAAGAAGGAGCCAGAAAAAGAGAGTCCAAATAGTCTTCTCCTTGATTATATTCTTACTCAGAAACATTGTCAAGTTGAACATATGATACTAGCTCTCTATGAAGTAAGGCCTGTACCTCCTCTGCAGATAAATTCGAACCTGATTCCTGGTAAGTCGTACCAGTAGCATTTTCAACTGTAACGAGAATTTCCATAGTCGATACATTTCATTGCAAATTCATACTAAGATCTCTTATAATTTGGTAACAAGAAACAGATGCAAAAACAAAATTGTTGAAACAATCGAATGCAAACACAGTAAAATAAATGAGAAATAAGAACAAGTTTAAAAGCCCAGATCTAGATAGATGGATTGAGATATCTTAAATTGTTCATTCTTGGAAGGAGAAGAGTCAGGAGTGATCTAATTGAAGTATTCAAAATCCTTAGGGAAGCTAATAAAATTGAGGCATCAGATTTGTACATGTTGAATTCTAACAACTGATCTCACCTGACAAAGTAAGTGACCTTGAAAGTTACATTTAATAAATGCATTGTACAGTTAGCCTCAGATATTGTTAAGTAAAATAAAAGGTCGAAGGTTATAAATTTCAGATTTAGAGAGGTCAAACATCTTGTTTCAGCAGAAGGATAAAACATTTATAAAAGCACCAAATTTTGCACATGTATAGAATCTGACCAACTTATCAATATAAGATAAGGACTCAACTGAAATTTTTCAAGATGATCATCATGTGTTCTCAGGATTTAGACTTTTACTGATATTGATTTGTAAATCTATATTGATCACTGTTTTTTGCAAGGAGAGTAAGTAAATAAATAAATGCCACTTTGACTTTCTTTTGAAAATCTCACATTTAACCCAATGGTAATTATACCCTGTGGCTTTTACCCCCTACTTTTTAACAAAATTCTTATACTTGACTGATCATTGTGACTATAGTGTCTATTCAGTCACTCAATTGGTTGGCAATGAATTTCTGTTAGCAAGTTTTGGAATCATCAGTTATGATTAGATAACATTAGTATCTCATTTTTGTTGCTTGTAAACTTAGGCCTACAGCTTGTGTAAAACTGTACATAGCCTGTAGCACACAGTATTTATGAAATAAATTTGTGATTGTTACATAGATGGACCTTGCATTATTTTTATTAAATAATCCAAAATAACCTGTCCAATAAATAAACACTTTACAACTATATATATATGTATACATTTCACAATTATCTATATAATATCAAAGGTGTAAAAGTGATTATTCAGCACTGCACAGCCCTTACAAGATAATTATGTCAAAAATGCAACATTTTCATTAGGGATTCACCCACCCACAAATAAATGATTCTACCAACACAGCTGTAACAAAACAATACACAATTATATCATTTATATACAAGTATAAATGGTATCATTGTAAAGTGAAAATATCACTGGCAATAAAGCACTGGGTATATTCCATCTATCACATAATCAAAACAACATATGCAAAAATACATAGCAAGCTACAGGTTCAATAAGGGGGTTTGAATCTGGATGCACCAACTTATCAATGCACACATACACATATATATACACACATTCACTTTTTATGTGTATTTTTTTATTAGAAGGATGCTTAGAAGAAGAAAGCTCTTCTGTCATTAAGATGTTTTTTATAGTTTTATTATTTCTAAATCGGTACAATACTTCACCTTGTGGAGTTCTTCTAACATTTCTTTAGATTTGTTTTCTTCTTCTCTGAGGGCTTCATCAATAGTACTGACAAATGTAGATGCTTTAACGTAGCCCTGTTGACTTGCCACTGATTCAAGATGTTTCTTGAAGGCTTGAACTTCTTCAGAGTGTTGGGTCTTCAATTTGGTCTTTTCCTGCTGGCACTTCCAATACACATATCCTGGAATTAATAAAAAATAAACTGTGAGAAACTTGATTGGCCTGTAGCATAACTAATATAAACAAAATTACAATGGTTATTGTATATATATATATATATATATATATATTTATAACTATATCACATTTTAAGTTTCAACTGTGATTGGCTGAAAGCTGTTTTATGCATGACACTGTGTAAGGTCTACGAGTAAGATTGAGCCCATTATCATCACACAGTTATTCAAAGTTTTAAATGCATCAATATTTTTTTTCAATTACATTTTTAACATTTTTGAATTGAAAATTGTATAAATTTTAAATATAATTTTAATCTCAAGACTCATTATAAGTTACTACTTGTGAATTTTTTAAGCACACACCTTGAGAATGCAATAAACAAATTCCAAAGAGTTATACTGAGAAAAATCCAGAACATACTTAACACAAAATGATCTTTGTAAGTCTTGTGTCGTTAGAAACAAACATTTTATATGATATTGAAACTTAATGAAATGTAAGTGAAGACTAAGCTTTCAACTTAATTACTGAAGTGTGGTCATTGTCCAATAGTTGGTAGTTAATGAGTTACATGCAGATTTTCTTCACTATACTTCTCATTGATTGCACAGTGCACACCATGAACACAAAAAATATCTCTGTACTCAAGATACAGTCATTACAAAATACTAATGTGTTAACATAAACAGTAACACTAACAAAAAAACAATACCTTAAAAAAAGAACAAAAAATTATGCTATCTAAAGCTGGGCAATTAGTGATAATTGATAATTCAAAATTATGATTAAATTGATTAATCTAACTCATGATTAAACAGACTGTCAAGCAAATAATCAAAATTGGTGTTTCTTATTATTACTGTTTTTGATTATTCCAATAATTAATTTAATTTTTTATTGTCATGAAAATGATCAACTAATTGCAATTAGGTTTTCTGATTATTACTCTTTTCAATTATTACAACAATTCAAGTAATCAAAATATTGCTATTATGTTTGTTTATTGTTCAACATGCGAGGTAGCAAATTCTATTTTTATTTTTTTATGGTTTTGTTTACTGTTTGTTTATTATTCCTTCCACTGTTTAGTCTAGCTATGAAATTTTAGCTACATTAAAGTGCTAACTCACCTTATAGTTGATCATAATGATTTCAAATAAGTTTGTATGTATTATGAAAGCTACACCAGTTTCTCCTTAGAATGATGTACAGATATTATTAATATTGCAAAAAATTATGTTAAACTTATGGTCATGAGATGCAAACTCATAGTCAAACATCTGAATAAAAACCTTGTCTTCAACAAATTAGTTCAGGAGAAATAGCTGAAAGGTATTATTGCTGATTATTACTTAATGTTGTTAATGATTTTGTAGTTGTGTAAATATGGAATATTGTTATTTTGGAATTACGTTTTTTCTCCTTCAGGTTCTTTTCCTGATTCCTTTATTTATTGAAATAATTATTAACATTGATATTTATGTTGTACTGTTCATTAATGTCAGCAGCAAGTCCTTGCCAGGCACATACTTATTAATTGTGTTTTGGGAAGTTATAAATTTTGTATTCTAATTGTTCAAATGTTTATTTTTGATTTCTGTGGTTGTCAAAGTTCAATAAATTTGTTTTTGAGTTTCAATCCTGGTTGTAGGTAGTTTTTGTTTGTATTTTAGTTCATTTCAAACACAATGCTACATAAAAGTGACTTGGAGGGGAGGGGGGCTCATGATTTAAGAGTTTCTGGTTTGATTAATGCTACTAAGGCTATCTGTCACTGTTACTAGTTTTAAACTGCTGACCAGTACCCACCATCACCAGCTTTTTTCCTTTCTTTTTATTTCTATTTGAACTATTCATTGGAGGGATGACAAGTGGCTGGCAGTACCTGCTGTAAACATTTTTTATTATTTTTTTTGTTTCTAAGTGTCATGGTTTGTGGAACATTGTACTAATCAACTAATAAGGCTGTCAATTAACTGATTAGCAAATATTACTATCATCCCTGCTCTAGATAAGAGTTACCTTGGAAATTATAGGCTAGCTCATCTTATTTCTATAGTGGGAAGAATTGTAGATAGTCTGATAAAAGAAGCTATACAAAATCATTTAGAGAAATATACCTGAAAGTTAATACAGACTCAAAGAAAAATCTTGCCTTACTAATCTGTTATCCTTTTTAGAGGATTGTACTTTTTAGCTGGGTAATGGAGAGTATGTGTGGACACATTGTACTTAAGAGTTTTAATAGGCTTTTTATAAAGTACCATACAGAAGATTAGCTAAGAAAAATCACAGTGATAGAGGTTGGGGAATGACTAGTTAATTTTATTGTAGGGTGGCTCAATGAAAGGAAGCAAAATGTTAAATAACAGAGTTCAGTCAAACTTGACCCATGTTACTAATGGAATGCCTCAGGGATCAGAGTTTGAGCATCTGCTTTCTTCTATTTATATTAATGATGTTTTTAGGTCATAATTGGCAAATTAGTGAAGTTTGCTCATGAAATTAAACTCTTGTGTATTCCTAATTGTAGTAAGGATGTTGAGGTATTATACTTGTGGTATGATTTGAATCAATTGGAGTTTGACAAATATTTGGCAAATAACTTAATTGTAATAAAAGCAAGGTAATGCATTTGAGTTATAATCTGGATGATATGTTTAATATAGTTGAGAACCAACTCAGTAGCACAACTAAAAAAGGATCATCAAAACAGTGCTTTGTTGTTAGTAGTAAAGCTAATAGGATATTATTAGGGTGCATATCTCATCATAGTAGTTGATAATATAACTATCTAGATATTGATGTCGCAAAGCGATACATATCTAGATACAGAAGTTTTACCAATGGTTTGTTACAAAGTTTGACAGTCTTGTCTGTAATTTATTATCTATATTACTAATATTGTCTTACTTAAGTACTTCACACTTCACAGCACTACTTCAAATTCTCAGGTTTGATCAACTAAGTAGCTGTTGGCAAGAAAAGTAAAAAAAAATAAGAGTTAATATCTATTTTATTATTGTTAATTTATGCTACTTTGCATGTAACGTTTTTGATAAGAGAAATGAAGACAACATGTAGGACTCAGTACTCATCTTCCTTTATTGGATCATTAATTTTTAACAAAAACACTTTATTAGAAATTCAGATTTTTTCTGCACAAAAGACTTATAATGTTTACTGAAAGCTTGCCAGATTTCATGAAGATACATTAATCATATGGGACGATGTATCATGGCTTCAGAATACAATACTCGCATTGTATCACTGTATTGTCACACCTTTAGATATTATAGTGTATTTATATACAAATTGATTGTAGATTAAAATAGGTAACTATCTCTCTAGATACAAATTACTAGTTGGGACTCACTTGAAATGCTGTGTAAAATTCTGGTCCCTTTACCTAAGAAAGGATATTGACTTACTGGAAAGGGTTCAGAGGAAGACTATTAGAATGACTGGGGATGGAAGGGTTATCTTACACATACACGTTTGATTAAGATCTCAGCTTATTTTATCTTGAGAAAGAAGGATTAAGATGTGATCTTATTGAAGCTTACAAGAATATTTGGGGACAGGGATTGATAGGATAAAGGCCTCTGAATTCTTTGAACTGTATTAAGAAGACAGTACCATAGCACATAAGCTTAAGATTTAAAAAAAGAAAAGCAGGGATCCAATTAAAACAGTTTTATTTTTAATAACAAGGTGACTGGCACATGGAATGAATGCCCACCATCAGTAGTGGAAGCCAAAATTTTAAAAGGAGCTTAAGAGAGGAATCAATTTTTTCTTGAAAATAAATAGTGAATTTAAGTTTTTACTTTTCTCAAAGGTGAATGAGCAAAAAAACTTGAAGGACCAGAGGATTTATTATTGTCTGTATGTTATGTTAACCTGTATGTAAAATGTATTCAGAACTTCTCCAAACATCTTCCTGTATAGCCTGCTTAAGTGGAGCCCATCTCTGGTAAGTAATTCATCCTTACCTCAAAGATTATTCCACAGGTTCAACCAGCCAACATATTGCTCTGTGTATATCCATCATGTCTCATTTGAGCCTTGGATTCTACTTAGTAATTCATTCCCAAAGAAGAACTTCCAAAAGGACCACATGCATATTTTTATTCCTAAACCTCTAAAGGATTCCTCTACACACATTAAGTACTTTTTCTGCTTTACAACTTCTAATAATACTTGCTACTACATTCACTACAAAAAACAAATTCTCCTTAGTACTAGAAACTAAACTGTCAACATGCTCTATAATGTCCCCTACTTTAGTATCTGGCAAGCAAATTCTAGTTCTATTCTTTATATGCTCCCCACTGCATATGTGAACAGTGTACATAATGTACACCTCTTGATTATATATCCCTCCTGATTAAAGGCAGCTAAAGTTCCAAGTCTGTTAGACTGATACCTGAATGTTAACTGAACCAATCTAGCTTTTATACTATTATGCAACATTGTAAACTAACACATGAAAGCAGAAGATGCATTAAGACAGACTTTTTTCTGTTGAAGTAAAAGTGTCATTAACCTATTAACTGCTGATTCGCTGTATAGGGTATGGTCCACTTCCAGCACTTGAATGCAAGTGTGCTGTATACATTGTATGGCTCGCAAAAATTCTGCACATTTAAAGCAGCTGTAGTGAAAGGGCTAACTTAAATTTTTGATATCCAATGTACTTTGCATATTTAAAAGAAAGTTTCATAAGTTTCAAAAGCATATTTCATGGGTGATCAATTATAAAGTTTACAAGCACACTTGTGTTATGGTTCACTGGAAAGAAATGATGGATTTTTTTTCTCCATAAACACAAATGTGTAGGTCCTAATTTGCTTTGGAAGTCTAACAGTTTACATATTTCAGACTTTATGCCCATCATAATCATATTCACAGGCATTATCATTATCAACTAGGTCATGAATGGACGACACAGATAGTGACAGACGTAAAAAAATGTATGGCATGATTACCACAAAAGCTGTTAAAATATAACTAATGATTTTATTTTCAAAACGTTATAATTGCTGTTTGTTTCAGACTCAGAAACATTATTATTCTCTATTATTATCTCACTTTGGGCACTAGTCAGTAGTCAAAAAATTAAGTATTGAACTAAACCCAACTAGTAATACTAAACTATTACTAGTAGTAGTAATACTCACTAATAGTAATAGTAGTATCAGTAAGCCATCATATCAAGGCCGAAGTTTTTATTTAGACGTGTGTGCTAACCTGCACTTAATCTTTACTGTTTACAATAATCTAGTTAAAATAGCCTAAGTCTACAAAGTACATATACTGACATAACTTGATAATTGAGCCTACCAAGAGCTATCGGTGTTGCGAGATTGAAAAGAACACCTATATGTTTTAAACTTGATTTCTCATCTCTTGGTCCTGTAGATGTGGGTGGGATATTTAGGTCATTCCATCCAAAACCTTTACTACTCTTATCCATTCTTTTGACTTATTTGACACAATTAAAACTGAAACTTAAAACATAAAAATCCATAACTGAATGATGCGAAAGAAATCGTGTGACACGTAAGATTCTGCCAAGATGGTGCTTTTATTTTCCAGTAAATAGTGGATCTTGAATTAAAAGATGTAGATTATGGTACTTTTATCAATAGTAAATATTGTTAAAAACAATCTAGACATATATAAAAATGTGCCAGAGATTGTGATATTCAGTCTAGGGCAAAAAAAAAAAAAAAAGTTGTTGTTTGCATATCTTAAATTTAACCCTGACCCTAATTTTTAAAATACAAAGAAATTCCAATGTGCTCTATTTTAAATCCGAAAATTATATGATTTTGTTTTTACATGAGGAGTTTTCTGAAAGACAGTGAAGTAAATTCGGATAGAAAGAATCGAAACGCAAGACATTGTAAAGTATTGTTACGTCTCCGTTCGTTAGTTAATTTTCCGTAAAAATTCTTTCCGAAGAAACTTTAGCGATACAAGTCCTTTCTTAA